GCTACAGGGCACAGAAGTAGGAAGGAGCTGGGCTGTGCAGAGTTCTGTAATGTCCATTAATCAAAAGCTCCCTGTGGCGTTTGTTTTCACAGCATTGGTGGGTTTTCCTTTGGGCACTTCCCTGCGGAATGGCGAAAAAAACAATGTGTTTTCTTGTGAGCAAAACCGTGCCTCCTCACTTTGCTTTGTTTTTTTGGGAAAACTGAAATATGTTTGTTGTAAGTTAAGGTAATGAACCAAAAATGCTAGTCTGAGCGCTTCGCTGCCTGTGCATCAGTGATACTTCTGACACCAAGTTCCCTCTGTTGGATGGGAACCAATCAATTAAACCATGTCTTTCATTCTGCAATAGTATTATTTTTTTCTACTAATGCTCTTTTTTCCTGGAAGGCTTTGTTAGTATATGTCTATCTCCCTCTCCCAGCAGGATTAAGCTCTCGCCTTTACCCCCATAATGATAAGATCAATGTGAGGCACCTAGTTTGCTCTTAAAGGCAGGGAAAGATGAGTCTATCTAAGGACAAAACGCATTTGATCCTTTGGCCTTACATTGACTGTAAATCCAGTAATGTGACCATTCATTTCTTAGAAGCCTGCCCCATAGAATCACCTATGTTGAGCTCTTAAAAAATTCTTTCTTAATCCTATAGGATTGTGGATTTACCCAGATCAGCTACGGGTAGGAACAGTTTCACTCTGACATCAGGGTGCCTTATGCTTGGATGAGAATATTTGTGTTAGATGCATCTGTAACATGAAGTATAGTAGCACCAGAGAAGCAATATTTTACTTAAAAAAAATACTGACTTGAAAGGCTTCATAGCATATTTCATTTGCTTCCCTCACTTCATCCCTGAGCCATTTGTTCATCTGTTTTTTCATGTGCTCAGTCTTCACTGAGGGTAACATGTGCTGGCAGGATCGGGTGCTGGGATGAGACATAGCGTTAGCTGCCAGGGAACCCAGAGTCTAAACAAGGAGATCAGCAACAACACAAAGCATGTGAAAAAAAGTCACTTAAAGAATTTGTTTCTGATTTAGACACTGTTAATATTTAAGCTGAAGAATACCTCAGAAGAAGGTAGATGTCTGCTGTTATTTTTAACTGTTTTAGACAGAAAGGCTGGTTAAGGTTCAAAAGCGTCTTAAAGTTGCTACATGTACTTAGGAGCACTTAATGCTGGACGTAGCAGCAGACAGAGTGTCCAGCTGCCTGCGTGCTGTGATTTTAAGACTGCTGTAAACCTCTGTCTCCTCCCCATGCATCCCTGCCACAGTAGCTAATATTATTTCTCTTTTTAGTTAAGTCAGCAAAGACTTGTATTAAAATGCAGACACTTTTAGGAGGAGAACCCTAAGGCCATATCATAGTCTAGTACTTTAACAATCCTCTTAACAAAGTAAACAAATTTTGTTAAGTGCTCCTCTAGAATTCCAGGTAGTTTCTAAAGAGTGCCTGAGGCAAGAAATTACAGAGCACGGGGTGTGGAATTCGGCGCTCTGTGCAGTTTAAAAAGCTCATCTTGTGGAATGTGGAATGTATTGAATGTCTTTTATATGCAGGACACAGTTACTGTCCTCTGAGAGGGCTTCTAAGAAATAAAGACAGAGAGTCTGGCTATCAAGAGACTATATTCTTAGGAAAACCAGTGCATCCATAGGTGAATATCTGATCACATGATAACACATAGTGCCAGACGGGGAGCAAATGCCTACTCCAGGTACACATAAAAGGTGCTGTGAGATTGGAGACAAGGAGACCCCTTTCCAGCTGGGCTGATATAGGAGCAGCATTGCAAAGGTGCTGAGATTTGGACTGGGCTTGGAGAGGGTGGTGACGACTTGGGAAAGAGCAGAGCAAACAGTCGAGGGAGGGGCTAGGGTTGAGTAGAGACAGCAGAGTCAGCTGCGTTTTGGGGACAGCGAGTAGACAGACTGCTTTGTTTGGCATGAAGAGTCATGAGAAAGGAGGGGTGGGAAGGTTTATGGGGGCAGAGGATGGAGCAGGTCCAGTTGCTTACTGAGGGATTCGGACTTCATTCCACAGGCCTTAAGGATCAGGGAAAGGTAATGAGCAGAAAAGGCACGTGACCAAGATTGCGGTTTAGGCCACTCCAGCGTAGCAGTGGAATGCTGATGGATCCAGGGCATGAAAGTTCAGAGTCAGGAGGTCAGATGTGAGGCTAATACATTAGGTGCCAGAGCAGGTGGAAAGGAGGTGACAGATGTGAGAGTCACTGGGAAGGAAGAATCACCGGACTTCAGTCCTCTTGCGATAAACCACCACTTTACCACTGTGACAAATCAGAGGTGGTATAGCCTCGCCTTTAGGATGACTGTCTGTGGAGTCAGGGGCAGACACGTGGTTCACATCCCCAGTTCTTTCACTAAGTAATTTTGTGACATCGATCAGGTCACTTAACTTTGCCGAGCCTCAGTTTTCTCATGAGTAAAACAGAGAGAAGAATACATACCTCATAGGCATGTTGCAAAAATCAATTGAGAATCTGATGATTGCTGTAATGGTGGCTGCCAACGAAAGGCAGAGCAAAACTTTGTTGTGTTCCTCGAGAGAAGCAAAACCAGAGTTTAATCTAAGAAGTAGCTGTATTTTCAGAAACAGAGTATCTCCTGACTCTTGTTTTCATTTTTCCTAATTAAGCAGACTTATGAACCATAGCTCACCAAGTATCCCATCCTCATCCCATCTTCCCCCATCCTAGGCACAAGGTGACCTAGTGAATACTGTGTGTTTCTGGTGTTCTGGAGTCTGACCATGTGCTCTGAGTGCCTCATTTCTTCCTCTCTTTTGCTTTCTGAATAGCAGGAACAAAGACATTTTGTTTAAAACCTTAATAATGTACTTCATTGTAGTCTGAACAAATAACATAGATCAAAACAAACACAAACCCATGGTCACCTGTCCACTGCTTCCTTCCTTGGCCTCCATTTGTTCAGTCATTTACCAGCTGTGTACTAGGCATTGTGGGAACTCTAAAGATGGCCACACTACTCTTGAGGGACCTCTTGGTTTACTGTGAGAGATAACATGTGTTACACAGAATGAGGTCGAGTTGTAGACATGAACTGTATGGCTGGATAGAGTTTAGTGTGAGACTGGTTACATTTCTAGGAAGGAGGGGACACCAAGTGTAATGTGGGCAGTCGTGGCTGGGAGCTTAGAGGTGCAGGAACTGAACTTCTGGGGAGCAGAGAAAGGAGGCTCTAGAGGCTCTATGTATCCTTCCTTCTTGGTGAGTGGGAAAGAGAAAGGAGGTGATAGAAGATGGGAGTTCCATGGAAACCCCCAACCATCAGCACTTGGCTTGGGTCCTCTGATTATAAGACTCTGTTTACTAAGGGAGTTGATGTAAAAAACTCCACATCTGCTATAAACTTCCTCACATCACACCCTGGCTTCCAAATATGACACTCAAGAGAAAATGCTTTCTCCTCCCGAGCTGTTGGCTGCTTTTACTGTATGAACACTGTGAGTTGTATCTGTGACCACATTTCTTTTCTCCCATTGGCTCCTAGGTAATGTAATACAGGTCTGTGCCCACCTGTTGTAAGAGTAGCTTCCTGTAATGTGTTTTTCTATTAGCCTTAATTCTGGCTCCATCGGAAGCTCCTCCTCTTTTCTCTGCCCTTACCCTCCCCAGCCCTTTTTTCCCCTTGTCACTTCCATGTGATCAGGCTGTATTTTCTATGCATCTGCCTCACCTGCTCTAATTCGTTTCCTGAGCAATGAGGAGGGCAACTAAAGGAAGAATTGGCCTCTGCAAAAGTTCAGCTTGTTTTGGGGACGCATTACATACAGAAATAACAATTAAAGTGCAGAGGGAAGGGAAGGAAATGAAGCTATAGGAACATCTAGCCCATGATTTTAGTGACCATAATCTTGGTTGGGTCTCTGTGGCCTTGGGGCAAATTGCTCCCTTCCACCTACCTCCAGTCCATCTGCGGCTGGGTGGAAAGCCAGCACCCTCTCAGGTATTTTCCAGGTTCTTGACTCAGATGTCACTGAGAGGAGATGGGGATGACTGGGCACAGTGGTTTCAGCCAGTAGTGACTTCCCCTCTTATGCCTGCAGGCCCCTGGAGCAGGAAGTCTGAGCAGGTGGTTCCCCTGCCACCCCAGGGCCAGTCTTACCCTTTTTGCCCTTCGTACTCAAGAGCCAAGGGAGGGGTTGGTTGGTCAGGAGGGAGCCTCTTTAGCTCACTTTTCTCCATTCACTCTGGCCTGACTTTTACCCTGGGGCTGTCCTGTCCCTCGGCAGGGAATCATAGTCCAGAGCCTGTTCCAGGTGTCTGATTTCCCTTCCCCGTCTGGAGGCTGTGCATGTGTTTGAGCGAGAACTCACCTGGGCAGCCTGGACATTGGGTTGGTTGAAAATTCTCAGGAAGTTGCCGAACCCTGTGGCCACCTGGCACAGCATGTCTTAGGAGACGCTGTTTCTTCTGTTCTTTTGCCGGGTCACTTGTCTCACCTGAGTCTTTTCTTTGATTGCTTCCTGCCAGAGTTAGAGTAAGCATCGCCATCCTGACCCTGGCCCGTGGAATGGCATCTCAGGTTTACCCTGACCTTGACCACCTCTTTGGTAATCCTGAAACTCCTTTTGGCTTTATTTCAGCCATGACACTCCCTCCTTGAGATCAGCTGCTCACTTTTGTCTGCATCTGCTGTTAGCTTCTGATTTGAGAGGAGTTCAGTGTTGTAGATTTAAATTGCGAGCCTCCTGTGTGCCTGGTACCATGACAAAAATTCGAAGGCCTCTGCAGGATGGCTTTGTCTCCTCTTGTGCCTCTTGTTCATTTCTGTTGTGCCTTTGCTGCACCACTTAATCATCTCTCTAGGCCCCAGCTGCCTCGCCCTTCACAGCATTTGATTTTATAAACTTCCCCTCCTATCCTGCCTTAATGGCTTTTGGCTTCAGAGGCATAATTTGTGTGTCCTCAAAAGGTGAGGTTTTATTCTCTCAATTATGGTTTCTTTTGCAGCTCCAGTTGGGCAAATCCAGCTCCCACTATGATTGATATGTCCCGGGAACACACAAGGAAGTTGGCTGTGTCTCCAGCTAAGGTAAATTGAGCTCAGACTTTAAAAATCTCACTTTTGGTGAGAATATCATCTTTCCCATTTTATCAAAGCACCAAGAAATAAAGAGGATTTTGCAGTACCTTTTCTGGTAGCAGCATAGATAATTTTACTATTTAATATAAGAAGTTGCTCTTGTGGTGGGAAAGTTGATGAATACCATGTTAACTGCATTGCTCAAGATCCGAGTTTCTTGCCCTAGAGAATAAGAAGTATGAAGCTATTCGGGGCTGCTGCTTTGAAGCATGTGGAATGTGGCTTGTTAGTTACATGTCAGTCCTCGTGCTTATTCACAGCTTCCTGAATCTCTGTTAGAGGTCGGCTTGTGGGAGGGAACTGCCAAGGTATGAAACTGTAGGCAGCAAACCTTGATATTCAGTCTTATATTAGTGAAAACATTCAGTTTACTGATACCCTTCCTGTCATTAGAATTAATGATCATAATTGTGACTATGAAGCATTTCAAAAACCTTAATAAGTGTCTTTTAAATCTTTATAGGCGAGGTCAGCTGCAATTATATTTAGTACAGCTCTAATCTAGCACAGTGAGAGTCAGACGGTAAAAAGAGCACTGGTGCGGCTCTGCCCTGATTAGCATCTCAGGTTTACCCTGACCTTGACCTCCTCTTTGGTAATCCGGGCCCAAGTTTTCTCACCTCTGTAAAATGTGAGATTTAGATTTGAATGCCTGGTTCTAATCTAATTTTGTAGGACTCTGGAACTGAGTATATTTCATACAGTTTTACTTTTTGGTGTGGCATATGTGGTAATTCTATGCTAACCGCATTAACCAGGACAATCACTTTTCAAACATGCCAGATAGAGTTTACTGGATAAAACTGTCAAATATTGGAGATTTTAAGCATTTGCTAACACTGAGTTGCTGTGATGACATTTAAAATGAATTTAATAAACAATATTTTTCCCCAGCAAAGGAAGAACCCATTTAATAGTTCCCAGTTGCCAGATGATCACTTATCTCAGCACACCAAAAATGAGCAATGGTTTCCAAAAAATGGAAGGACTGGTTTCTTTCAGACTTCAAAGGAGGGTAAATATTATTTTTATGGGCTAGATATTTTTATCTGTCTTATCTATGGACTAAGGGAAATTCTCAGAGTTCTTTTACCTAAAATAACTTTCAAGAGAAAGTGAAAAGTCTTGAGGGTGCTCTCAATCTACTGTGCCCATTGGTCTCCTGCCTGAGGGAAGGAAGCAGAGATTTTAGAAACTGGAAGTTCACGCATTCCAGTCTTGGAGCTGACACTTGTTGTATGACCTCTGTGCCTTGGGTTCCCAGGCAATGAACTGGGAAATGTTTTTGGCCAGACACATGCAGTCACTCATTTAAGAGCATTTATTGGATGTCTGCCACGTGCAGACACCATTCTCGGCTTAAAATTAAAAGACTTTGTCTCGAGACAAAAAGGCCACTTCACAGTGTTATGAGCCCCTAGTCTGTTAATCTTGTTCATTTTAACTTTTTGACAAAATCATATTTATTTTGGGTATTGAAATTTTCTTTTTAAAAAATTGAGTTCTTTTTCCTGGTTTCCGTATGTGAATTTTTAAAGTGACTTCTCTGTTTTTCATTAGCCTCCTTCAGGAAGTTTTTTAAATTCTTTTTTTAAAAAACTTTGTTATTGAGTATAAAACATCACAAAGTTTGCATGTAAAGCACAGTGATCTTTTTTTTAAATTAAGGTATCATTGATATACAATCTTATGAAGATTTCACATGAACAACATTGGTAAAGCACAGTAATCTTAAATGTACTGTTCAATGAAGTTCATGCATGAGTTTTTAAAAGCTTTTTAATTAGGTCTGCACTTATGCTACATACTTCATTGCCCCTAGTATTTTAATATTTTTGCTGAACGTAGATAGTGTTTATGATAGGTGTTGTAAATTATAGAGTTACTCTCCATTCAGTATTATCACCTAATGTGTTTTAATTTTCAGGTGCATTGTCACAATCAAAAGAAAAGTTGTCTGTCCTGGATATTTCAAGTCAAAAGTCAGAGGAACCAAAGCAGATTTTTCCAAGCCCTGAGAATGGATCCCAGATCAAAGCTCCCATCCCCAAAGCCAGGAAAATGATCTACAAAGCACATGATTCAAAGCAAGATGGCCACCAGCCTTTTCCTAGGCAAAGCGCAGACTCCCTGCACCCCAGAGGGGCTCCCCGAGGAATCCTGAAGCGCAACTCCAGTTCCAGCAGCACAGACTCAGAAACTGTTCGTTTTCCTCAGAACTTTGAACCCAAAAGCAAAATTGTGTCACCTGGCCTAACCATCCATGAGAGAATTTCTGAGAAGGAGCATTCTTTAGAAGACGACTCCTCTTCAAACTCCCTGGAACCCTTAAAGCATGTGAGATTCTCTGCAGTGCAGGATGAACCCCAGCAGAGTCCTGGGCTAATCCATGGCCATGAAGTAGGAGAGTTCAGTGTTTTAGAATCTGATAGGTTGAAAAATGGAACAGAAGATGGAGGGGACATAGACGAGTTTTGGGGTGACCCTAAATCTTCCCAAAACAGAAAGCCTTTGTCTTCACGTCAATCAGCTTTAAGCCCAAGGGCATCCCAAAGTGAAGCACATCAGCCAACCTCTTCTGATTCTTCTCCAATTAATGGGTACCATTCTCCCGCAGAAGTTTTAACTACAAGACCACCGTCCATTGAGAATTTGCTCACCATCAGTGAATACAAAGCTAAATCATCAGAATTATCAAGGCTTGAATCAGAATTGTCCAAAAGCCCTGCTGGTAAGAGAGCTGTCACTACCAGGCTATAAAAACCAACCAACCCAGTGGGCTTTGAATGGCCAGGCCAGCCAGCCCTGTAGAAGCCCTACTTTGCTTCCTAGGTGTTCCAGCTACAATTCAGGCAGATGCCACTGGGGAATGTTTATACCTCTTAAGGGATGCAGAGGTTTTCCTCAAACACCAGTAACTAAAAGAACCAGGCCCTTTATGCTTTACCTTAAAAATTTAACTTCCTCGATTACTTAACTAAACCAGTTACAATCTTTTGAGTTAAGTCAAGGTGTATATACAGAACAGGAATTAAATATATGCTAACATCTTTGTACAGAATAAATATGTTATTATTCATCCAATGCATATTTATCAATTACCACCACAGCAAACCAGTTTCTCTTTAAATCTCAGGAGAACTCTCACTTTCTTAGCTTTGAAGGATGGGAAACTGCACTTTGAGTTCTCACTATGAAATAGCCTCAGACTTTGGCCTGCCCAGGGCCTCTAGCCATTTTTTCTTAGACTTTAAAAACACTGAAGGAACTTTCTCCTTCAGCTTGTGTGAGCTGAGAGGCAACGAGAGTATGGCTTTTTCCCCCACAACCTAGCTAACTAGTCCTCTCTTGAAGATCTTAAGTCTCAGGGATGCCTTGAACTGAGTCCCTATACCTATATGATGACTTCATAATTCTTAAGTTTTAAATCACAGAAACAATGGGAAAATCATGCTGCACGCTCTCTCCCATCTTCACTAAATCTTCATCCATCCCTGTGACAATTTCTTTATAATCAGGAAAAATTAAAGTATCAACACAGCAGTCACATTTCTAACTCATTTGTTCTTCTCTGCCCTTATTAGTCAGTATTGTTAACCTTGAGTCACTTTTGCTCAGCTTAGTTTCATATGTGTTCAGATCAATCCACGTCTTAGAGGGCAAGTGCTTTCCTCCCCTCAGCCCAGAGGGTTTAAATCATTTGAATACAACTTAATTTTTTAAAAAATATTAAAAATTAGCAGGTCCCTCTTCAAGAAAAACAGGAACATATTAAAGGAAATTACTAAAGTTTGAGAAACATTAGCAAATACTTAGATTATACTTATATATTTACTCAAAAGATGAAAAACATTTCTTTGGTACTATCTTCCTTTATTATAAAATCCATAGGAAAAAACCTGGTAAACCTATCCTGTTTTTCAAACTGTACCTGCTTTCCCACTGACACTGATTTTGTATTAATGACTTATTTATCCTTTCTGATTTTTAAGTCCCAATTGACCATGAAATTTGGGAGGAAGGTGTCATCAGCTATGCCCATTTTGATTGACAGGCCTTCTGGCCTCAGAACTTATAAACAAAGTTTTGCTTACTCATTAATGTTCTGCTATTTTTTCCTGATTACCACAAAAATATACATAAGTAAATAATAAAAATAAAAGAAAATCAGGAACAAAAAATGGTATACTCTAAGTGTGTGAATTATAAAGGTTTGACTTTAGCTCTGAGCTTTAAGACTGTCAAGATTATACTCATTATTGCACTGGAAAAAAAAACCAAAAGAATTCCTCAAAACATTATCTGACATCAAATTTTTAAGATAACTTGTAAACAATCTTTTCTTTCATTTAAAAAACTTTTTTCTTTCATTGTAAAATGAAAGGAAGAAATGCACACAAAATAAAGCAAATATTAGCTGTGATGTCATCACTCAGCATTAACTATTGTTAACATTTAATTACAGAGCCTTTCAATAATTTCCAGGCATGAATATAATTTTAAATTATGTTTATATTGTCCAGACTTCTTTTTTCACTAACAATAAATTACAGGGTGTTTTTTTTTATCATTAAATAGTCTTAGTTAAGCAAACTAACACAGAATCCTTAAAGGTTTCTCAAAGGAACTTCACAATTATTGACATATATTTAATAGCACAATGTGTAGGTAAGGAAGGAAACCAGTATCCACTATGTGCCAATTATTGTTGTTTTCACATGTAGCCAGGATTAGTGATTAAAAAATAAAGAATTGTATTAACTAATATTGTCCTCTAGTGCATTTGAAATGTAGCTGATTTCATAAAAATTCAGCTCACATAATTTTCAGGAATATTCTATTGCATAGCTTAGCATTTATAAAGAAGAGGGAGAAATGCTGAAACACCTGAGTTTTAACTACAGGAGAAGAGTGCCTGAGGTTCCTTATCTAAATGTACCATGTGCCCTGTGATTAAGGCTCAGAAAGGACTCTTCTGCTTTCTTGATAATTTAGAAAGAACTTAAGTATCCTTCTCTATCTCCCCTGGCCATTGGTTAACTAATACCAGGAACAGGTAGAAATCAGATTTTCCATCAGTCCTCATTTTAGTTTATTTTGCTCTCAGAAACTACTTCTAACTCGTAAATTGTAGAAGGGAAGTCGGAGATAATGGAAGAGCATCTTGAGATCATGGTCCTCAAACTCCAGTATGCAAAAAGAAAAATCACTGGACCAGCTGTCAGTAAAGAGTCCTGGACCCCAACTCCAGAGATTCTGGTTTAATATATCAGATGCAAGGCCCAGGAATACAAATTTATTCATTGTACTATTCTAATGTTCTGGAAGGAATTTCTTGTTTTATTTTCCTTGAAAATTGTTTTTCTAGCTCCTGAAATCTCCTGTCTGTGTCCCTCAAACTTGGGTACAAGCCCCCTCAAGGGTTTATGAATATGCCAGTGGATGGAGTCATAAAATCAATGTGGTATATCTTCTTGGAGTGTCAGTTTTATCCAGAGATTTGAGAGTAGGAGAAAATTATTATTTAAAATGTAATATGGATCAGAATACAAAGTTTACATGAATTTTCAAGATAAACCAGACACTCCAAAGAATTTCCAGTTTGGTCTACACCCTATACTTCCAGGGGTCTACACTTACCTTCCTTTACTATCATAGAGCATATTTGATAGAATATTTCAATTAAGATGGTTTACATTGCAATCCCTGAAAATGATGATTTAAACAGCTAGTGGTGTGGAAAGTATAAATACAAAGTGCCTTTTTAAAAGATAATGTGAGTGACTGAAAAATAATTTTTTAAGCATTCTCTTTTCTTATTTAGCAAAGCATTTCTGTGTTGCAGATGAACTGCCTTGTGTTGAGCCTGAGCCACCTCAGGTGCCAGACTGCAGTTCTAGAGACCATCAGCAAGGTAAGCCCCTTCTTCTTCAGGCCCTAAAAGCTAAGACATCCTCACGCTCTGGTCCACATACTACTGAGATAAGGAAGACAACTGATGATTCCATATCTAAAGTCCTAGACTGGTTTAATCGAAGTTCTCATTCAGATGACAATGAGTCACTTCTCCAACATCCTCACAGAGTAGAACCCAAAGAAAAAACAGACTCAAAACCACAGATTGCTATTGCCTTGGTGACAGATGATACCAGTCTAAAAGGAGATGATGCAAAGGCTCCGTTATCCACCAAAGTTGAATCGACATCTGTGGGATCTGAATCAGCACTCCAGGTGGAAGGAAATATGCTGCCTTCTGAAAACTGCCAAGATAATAATGTGAATATCAAACCCAAGTCTATTAATTTGTCCCGACAAGGACAAGGCAAAGAATGTCCAGGCACATTGCAAGCATTTGAAATCTGCAGTCCAAATCAAGGAATTAAACCTATGGACTCTAGCCAAACAGACAATACAGAAGGAAATGGGGTACTTCCCCCAGCCAGTAACTATTCCTACAGTGCTCTCAAAGGATCTGATGCAGAAGACCAACTTCTGAGCAACAGTAAGGATGTTGGCAGCTTAGATGAAGATGAGCCCAAGCTTCATGTATATGAAAAAAAAAGAGAAAACTCAAAACTGAATTTTGATTCTTCAATGACTGACAAAGAACCAAGGTTGAAAGACAACATGAAAGCAGAGAGAGTGAGTGAAGGAGGAGATGCTTACATCCCAAAAGCTTTGTTAGAGCCAGAAAATATTGTGTCCCCACCTGGGGCTGCCAATGGCAAACCTCCTTGGAAGAAGACCGAGGCCCAACTACAGCAAGACACCCATGAGCTTCCCAAGTACCAAGTGCAAAGAGAGAAGTACAAAAGGGTGAGTGATAGAATATCCTTTTGGGAAGGTGAGAAAGCTGCTGCTAAGTTAACTCATAAAGAGCCCATACCCTCCTGCAGTCAGAGAAGTCCTTCTGCTGAAGCACATCAGCCTGTAAAGCCTATGGACAGTTTATCTTCAGGACAGAGTAAATATAATCAAGCCACTGCCAAACAAGTGGTCCTACACAAGGATGGCCAAGCAGCCCATCTTTCTAGTTTTTATCCCTCAAATAAACCTAAAGAGACCAGGCCCCAAATATCAGGTCCATCCAAAAATTATCCTTCAGCTGACCAATCAGGCAAAGTGTCTCTGTTCCAGAATAAGAGACATGAGCCTATACAAAGATTGCCAGTGGCAGACAGCTTGCATTCTGGAAGGGACATTGCTTTGCCAGCACTGCGACATCCTTCCAATGTTGGAAATGAAATACATACTCCTTTGGAGAAAGACCATTCCCTAATTGGTGAATTGAATCCCAACTTTAAAGTTATGGCCCTAAAAGAAAGAATGGATGAACCCAATACAGAACAGATCTATAATCACTCTCAATTTGAGAATCTGAGGAAGTTTTGGGACTTAGGAGCCAATCCAAATAGTCAAGATAATGTTGAGAAGAACACTACCATGACAAACCAAAAAAAGTATGTGCCTTTCAGTAGCCAGAAACATAAAGAATTCAGTGGCATGACATCATCAGAGAAAAATGTCCATGAAGTAGAGATGCTAAGCCTCCAAAAAGTTCCAGCAAGGGAGGAAATAGAGAAATTAAACTCAAAGTGTACAGTCGAGGTGTTGCCAGATGAAACCACATTTCCATTGAGACCACCCGGAAAGTCTGCTCATCTGTTGCCAGGAAATGAGCCATCAAAGGAAAATGTGAAAACGAATACAGAATGGATTGTTACTCCAGTGTTCAAGGAAGAAAAGGATTACTCAGACCAAGGGATTCAAGAATCCATGGTGAAAACAAGTGTTTTGCCTAAAGACTACAAAGACACTTTTAATGACAGTTCACAGAAGCTGCTTTCAGAAGCTTCATCACCAGCAATCCAACCTTCTGATGGAAAAGCTCATGGAAAACCAGTGCTTGAACCAGGTGGTTCTGAAAATAGGACAGGGTCTCAAAAGACAGATTTTGCTAATACTGAGGAAGAAGCCAAAGGACATAAAGAGATCATTAATGAGCATGTAGCCAAAACAGTAGCTCCTCCAAAGTTCAAACTGGACACTTTGACTACTAGTCTAGACAAACTCCTGAAGGAAGCCACTGGAACTTTACCCTCTCCCTTGCAAACCAAGTTGGAACCTGTTACCACTAGTAACAACTCTGAACCTGAAGAGAGTAGAGTTTCTGAAAAGGGGATAGAATGGAGTCACAGCGCATCAGTCTACCAGAAAGAAATAAAAGTTCCTTTTCTAAAGGGTGAAGAAACTTTGGAAAATACAGTTCTTCCCCCGAAAGTTCAAAGCGGTGAGTGCCAACTAAACATGGAGAACTTGTTTCAGATGGCTGCAGAAGGTTCTCGCCCATTGGATCAAACTTGCCATCTTCACAGAAAGGGTTCTTTTGAGGATGTGGCCACCTCTCCCCAAGATATGCCTTCTTCCAGCATTACTCATCTTGCTCCTCAGGATAAGGCACTACATTCTCAAAGGGAAATCTCAGAGACTGTAGAAAAAGTCATTCTTCCATCCAAACCTGTATTGGAAGATGTAAATGCTGTATTACAGAAGCTACTTAAAGAGGCTTGGTTGAGTTGTCCAGTTGGGAGGGAAATAGTTCCTGGAAAAGTAAAAGCAGAATTTCCTGAAGGAGTACAGGCAGCAGGTAGCCCCCCAAATTCTTTGGGAGTTATCCCGCCATGGGCTACAATGAACATCACAGTTCCAGACAGAAAGGATTTGTATTCCCTCAGGGTACTGCCTAATGAAACTCAGGAAGCTGGGTCTCACTTAGCTGCCCAAATATCTCCATCTGTACAGATGCTTAGCTCATTGGGTCTCGCTGTTGCTCAGTATGGCAAAGAGTTACCTCAGGAAGTGGCAGAAATTGTGAGGGAAACAATTATTCAGCCTAAATCAGGGCATGATGAATTCAGTGCTGGCTTAGACAAACTACTGAAGGAAACTGTTGGAACTCCCTCCTCAAAATTTGAAAGTGGTACAGGAACTCTTTCTCCATCAAAGGTAATAGGTAGTACTGAGGTGCCCAGGCGAGCTGCTCCTGGATTCCATCCTGAGGAAATACAAGAAACAGTTAAAAAATCTGAGGCTCCATCAATAATGGAGACTGCTTTTGATACTGGTTTTGAGAAACTCTTTAAAGAGACATCTGAAGCTCCTTACTTTCAGCTCCAGGTGTCAGTGAAGGAAGGAACTCCTGAGAAGGGGCCTCCACAGTCAGGGCAGGCCAGTTTCTTAGGCACAGTGCCCCAGTTTTTCTGGGCAGCCTCAGAGGCCTCTGAAATGAAGCTTAAGAATGTTTTCAAACCTCAAGCTGACCAATGTGATAAAATGTTGGGAGGAGACAAACCTGTGACTGGTTTATCAGTAGATCTCTCTGGTTCTGAAAGTGGGGTTGAGATCCCTGGAACCCCACAACTGTGTGTGGACCATAAAATAGGGACCAGGGGAACTATGAAACCCACAGAGGGCAGGGATAGTGAAAGTGAGGCTGCAGGGGTTCGAGAAGGTTCCTTTCGGGAACCTGGCTTCGAAGAGTTTCCGATAACAATCAGTATGTCCAGATATAGGCAACCCATTCCTTTCCTGATGAACAGAGAAAGCCCTGCAAAAACAAGTGGAGTTGAATTGATCCTGGCATCCCCATGTAAGAGACAAGAGGAAGAAAAAGGTTTCTCTGACTCAGATTTTTCAGATGGAAACATTGGTTCTAATTCGGGAAGCTGGAGAAATACCTCCAGTGAGCATTTTGAAGTTTTTAACCTGTTGGTTAATGAATAGATTTATGGAATGTTTATTTAAAGAATGATACAGTTTTTAAAATCGGGAATAATTTGACACTTCCCAATGATGCTAAATTCTTCTTATCACCTCAGTTCTCCTTAGTCTTTCTTAATAAAAAAACTACATTTCCTTTCATATTCTTTAATCAAATGAATTACATAGAGACATCTTTACCCATAAGGCAGTGTTTCAGAAATGCCATAAATGGGCACAAATTTCCCTTGTAGGAGGAATAGTTTACCGTAGTAGTGGTTTAATGCCAGGAACAAAGTATAAGGCTGGCACTTTCCCTCAGATACCTTGTGCTCTGGTGTCTGTTGCCATTCTTTCCCCCTCGTTTTCAATTATCTGCAGGACCATCCCCTTCTAGAGTGTGACTTTGATCAAATGACTTCACCTGATTCCGCCTAAGGGCGTTGCCAGGCCTGCCGCTTTTCGGCTCCAGCCTTGGCGGAGGGGCTGAAGATCTTAATCAACTCCCAGATTCATCTAAGAGGACTTGAGGGTACTGGTTGCAGCCAAGCTATAAAACACAGGGCTTGTCTCAGTTTGCTTTTCTGATTAATATGGGCATTTTAGCAGAGAAGTCCAAAAGCAGATAGGAAAAAGAAGTTACCTGATGAGGGTGAGGAAATGATAAAGGATGCTCGCTGGCTGGGACATTGTAACCGAAGTTGCACAACAGCTAGTGTTGATTGCCTTTCTAGTAGTGAAATAGATTTTGTCATTTTCTAGCTCCCTTCAATCTCAATGGGAATAAATAAGTTTTCCTGAGTGGTTGACTTCTGAGGTTTGGCTTCCTTTACAAGTAGCTGTAGGGCCTCTTCTAGAAAACTGAAAAACCAGAGAATCCACCTTTCATCCTGATTAATCGAGTTGAACTCCCTGTAACAAATGTTGCTGGGAAGGGAAGGAAAGTGAAATACCAGTCTGTGAAACCTAACGTGTGCAAGAGTAAAAGTCAGCATGTTAACTTGTTGAAGTAGTTTCTTACTAAACTACCCCATGAGCTACTTGGGTAAACTGACCCATAGAAGGAAGAGGGCTTGTAAATTTGCATTTTGGAGACCATCACCTAATATGTGTAGCTATGTTTGTAGTGTACCAGAATAAGTGATAGAGCATCAAAAAGTCTATCTAAAAATGAAATAATCAATGCTAAATAACCACCCAGACAGAGCCCAGAGAAGAATATAGGCCAAGTAAGAGGTATAAAATGGTGCAGTTGTAGTTTCATATCCTCTAAGCTAAATTATTATTTGTAAACAAATAGGTGGGGGTAGGGTGAAAGTAGGGAGGAACCTGACTACAAGGGCACCATAATTCTGATCAGCAACCTCACGTGTCTGATTTGTGGCTGAGCTCTTAAGTAACCAAAACTTCGGTATGCTCCTTTAAAAAAAGAAGGGTTCCACGGTCAAATACTTTTGGAAATGCTGGGAGATTATGTACATTCTTAGCATATTAAAGTCTGTGAGAAGGTCTTCAGTAAGAATTCTTTTAAATTTGAACCCAGAGCATCCCAAATCTAATCATCTTTGAATCCATTGGCTATAGCAGGCTTATTAACATTGGGCAGAGTGAGATGCATTTCAGGAAAGTATTGTCTAGAGAAGTAATTTCCAAATTCATCACTCCTGGATTTAGTAAACATTTTTGAAGTGCCCATTGCCAGCCACTGTTCTGAGTGGTACTGAGAATATAGCAGTGAGGAATGCCAGTACTTAGACCAGGGCTTATCCATGATGGTGTTTTCACGGTCAAAATGGAAATAATGGAAGACTGTCTAGAGAGAATTTTTTTTTATAATGTTGTATTCAAGTTAAAGAACTCTTATTTTGAAGTTATGCCCGTTTTCTTCTTTTATTCTTTTACTCCTAAAATGCCTTTCCTTTTATAAAATACAGGCATTAGTAGATGACAGAGTCATCCCCTGCTCCCCTGCCACTACCTTTAAAATGCCTCAGTAAATTACAAAGTTGATTACCTTGTGTCATTTCCCACCATTTCGTTGGAAATTTTACTGGCTCACGAAACCCCAAAAGCCTACATCCGCTAATCTGGAGAAGTACCCATCTGTGTACCCGATTATACACAGATGTTAAACATCTGAATCCTGCCTTCTAAGATTTTCAGCTAATTTTTTTAATGCTCCTAAAACTGTTTTGTGGCTGTCTTCAAAAGCTAGAAGTGAAGTGGAAAGATTCAGAGCCTGGCACAGAACAAATCATGTGCCTAAAATAGAGGTGTAGAATTAAGAGATCCCATTTCTATTAATGTGGTAATCTTGTTTCCATATGATTTATACTTGCAAATATTTCTTGACCAGGAAAATTATTTTTTTTAAGACATTTTATTTTCTTCTGTGAAGTGCTTCATAGAGTAAATAAAAGTATAGAGGCATATGGCCTGATAGCTCCTTTCAGCCTACCACTTCAGTGTCCATGGGTTATTAAGAGTTTCGTTGCTTTTTCCTTTGTGTTGTGCAGTGTTCATCATTTTTGTCTTGTAACAGGTTCAGAAGAAGAACCCAGTCCTGTTTTGAAAGCTTTGGAAAGGAGTGCTGCTAGGAAAATGCCTTCCAAAAGTCTAGAAGACATTTCGTCAGATTCATCAAGTGAGAATAAAGTTTGCCCCACTGTTCGTGCACCCATCTAAGCTTAAAAATGCTTATGTGCTCTTCTGTGGCGTCACTGCATGCTCTTGTGCACTGAAATCCTAAAGGTGGGGTGGTTAACATGAGAATAACCTCTCCAAAGTGAGCTGAGGAGGCTCACATTAAGTGGCTAAACTTTGTTTCTAAAATAATGCATGAGGTTTGGTTCCTAGGACTCTAGGTTTCCTCAAATTGAAGAATCTCATCTGAGTGTTTATTCAAGTACAGGGAGTTTTGAAAGATTGTGGTGGCTAGTGGTTCTGGTAGTAAGAGCTAACATTTATTGAATGCCATGTGCCAAGATTTGGCTAAGCATTTTACAAGCTTTATCCCATTTAACTGGTATAAGCCCTTCTGTGAGGGATGAATTGTTGTTTTTCCCATTTTACAGATGAAGGAAATGAAGCTCAGAGAGGTAAAGTAACTTCCTTAGTGTTAAACAGCAGAGTTGGGACTCAAAATTCAACACATTATTATCAAGAGCTTTATGAAGTGACCATGCTATTTTTGACATTGTTGGGTATCTGATAAATTTTGTATGATATGGAGGTGAATTAATCCCCGGCATCAAGGGCTTTCTCTGTTATCCCTACTTCTCATGCATTTCTTTTGGGTACTGAAACCATAAGCCCAAAGACTACCGGACATGTAACACTTCAGGCACTATTCCCCACTGGCTGCTGTTTTAATTGGTGAAAGATTGCTTGAGTACTAACATAAGACAAGGTATATGGTGGGGGAGAGGGACTTGTGAGTCAGACAAGTGGACTTAGCAATCATGACTTCTAGGGGTTTTGTTCTTGTTTTTAAGCTAAGATGCACCCCTGGGAGGACAGATGTCATGAGAAAATTTATTAAGTGGAAGTTAATCACTGAAAAGCTCAAATGACTGAGAATTAACCAGTCACATTTAGAATATTTTTTATGCATCTGCAATTGAGACTAAAAAATCAGAATTGAAAAGGAAAAAGAAAAAGAAAAAGCCGCTCCACTAAATAATTCCTAAAATCCAGACATTCTTAGTACTTTGAAGACAGTATTCCCAATTTAGAATGCAGTCCTAACCTTACCAAAGATCTTGGAATCTTGGGGTTGGGAGGGACCTTCAAGGTCACCCATTCCAAACTCCCCCCAGTGCAGAAATTCCCTTTAAAGCCTCCGCAACAGGTGGCCAACCCCCACGTCCGCCTGAACGCTCCCAGAGAAGGCAGTACAATCCTTTGTTGGGCAGCCCTGATTGTTCTCCCTGATGGTGGTGATGGGTCCTGAGAAAAAAACTCAGTGACAATTGTCCAATTTGGCAGACCTCTTGCCTGGGAAGCATGGGGCTATTTCCATGGTGCAGCTTTAAAGTACTCAGGAATGTGTAGGGTTAAAAAAAAAATCACCATCAGCTGACGGGTATTCCTGCACGCTGCCTTCAAACACCGATACCCACTCTCACACTAGCCTGCCAAGATTCCACTTAGCAGCTGGTCCCCAGTTACATCTCTTCAGTTGACTTCCCAAGCAAGGCTCCCAGAGGCTTATACAAATGATGATGCACGCACAGAAATATTTGCTAATGACCATGGGTTTGGGAAGGTGTTAGTCATGGCTAGCATCTCACCCTTTCCAGAAGAATAGAGAGACTGTTGCAGCCCCGTGCTTTCTCCCGCTGCCGGCCGACAGCTTGCTCTGAGCTAACCCTCTAACCCCTGGGAGTCTGTGTGCAGCAGTGTGCTGATGTAAGCTGCATCAGGGCTGAAATGGGAGCTCCCGCTATGGCACCGGCTCAAGTAGCTAATCTAAAGAGAAAGTATTTTGGGGAAGACATCTTGGTTGCACCCCTCACTGCATCCTGACTAATTGCTTCCAACTCCGGGGGCTTCCAGGGACAAGCTCATTGTTCTTCCTCGCCAAGGGTTAGCCATATTAACCATTTGTTAATTTCTCCTGAACAGATCAAGCAAAAGTAGATAATCTGCCAGAAGAATTAGTACATAGTGCTGAAGATGGTAAATATCTTTATGTATTTGCATGTCTGTCTGTGTATTAGGTTCTGGGGTGGTTTGGGCAGTTATTGGGACGCAGCTGTTGGATAAATAGAAGGATGTCATTTGCTACTAGTGATGAATGGTGCTTAAGTTGTTATAAAATGGTTCTGACTTGGTACATTTAATTCTAACTATTTGTATTCCTAAGGCTTCTGCTGGTGATAATACCGTTGTGAGGTTCTCATCAGACACCCTTGGGAAGTGAAGGTTTCTATAAATAGAAAATTGTATTTCTGTGGGTATGAGCTGATTTTTGAAGCTCTGACTTGCAGAACTCCTTTTGAAGGCAGGAGGAGTGGAGTGGGTTCCTGGGTTAAGTTATTCCTATATCTGATTCTCAAGCCTCAGCATTTAGATCTCTCTGGGCTTAACTGGTAATGGTTTGAGTTCAAAGGAAAAGGGTCCAGAACAAGAGTCACGATCCTACCTCTGCTCATGTAAATAACTAAGTGTAGACTGAGGGTAAAATTAACTGGCTTTAAGTATTAAAGAGCCAGAAGATCTTGACGCTTGTCAGTGGATCAGGTATTACTTGGTTCCTTATAAAATGAGTAGCGTAATAATGCCTCGGTAGGGGGAGGGGTGGAAATGAGTATGCTTTTTATAGTTTAGCGTTTATGCAGATGTATATATTTGTATGCTGGAATTGTGTTTTCTAAACTGCGTTTACTATACTAATACAAATGTATGTTAACTGAACTTTCCCACATAAAATGCAGCCAGAGAATACCTCAAAGGTGTCTCACTTTTATGTAATACTTTCGTGTTTCTCATTTTGTTTACAACAACCTCATTGCAATTGATGGGGAGGGATTTTTATCCTCATTTTTACAGATAAGACAAACTCAGAGAAATTAGGTGACTTGTCTAAGACCCTGTAGCTAGTCAGTCCGTGGGAGGGGCCAGAAACTCAGCTTCATTCCTTAGTCCAGGATGCCTTTCATTTTCCATTCTTGGTGAATTAGAGGAAAGATGCTACACCTCCCTGTGCTGGCTGTTGGATTTTTAGTTGAATAGTAGACTTTGAAGACCCTAATGAGGAGTCACACTGGGGAATGGATGAAAGCAAGCCGAAAACCTGTCAGATGTATTCTTCAATTGCAGTTGTGAAACTGACGTTAAAGCTTTACTTTCATGTCTCTTTAATCCTTCTGTTAAAATGGTATTTATATTCAATGTTGCTCTTCTGAGTAGATCAAAAAGCAGATCAGGAGCCAGATACAAATGAATGCATACCAGGAAGTGAGTAGCACGATCTTTCCTAAAAAATGACTTAATGTTGCTACTCTTACAAGGTGTTAAATATACTGAAATAACTAACCCCATTAATAAATAACGCAGCATTTATGATTGGTACTAAACTCTGGCAACTTACAAAACTATTTCATGCTGACAAGGGTTTTATTACATTTTACTAATGTCTGTATTAAAGGATTAATTTGTGGTTCCACTGAGGGAGAGTTATATATTTAAAATATGTGATATAGATGGTTATCTACATGTATATGTATATTATTGCTGAGTAGCAGTATACTTTAGTCGTCTCTCTGCTCTTTGAGTCTCTGCTTAAAATGAAGTTGGTGCCTTCTAATGTAACTTGGCTTTTATGTTGCATTATGATCTGAAGTACTGGATCTCTTGTGGCCTTTACACAAGACTCTAGACATTAAGCAATTTAAATTTATTTGGACCTAAGAAAGAACTGTGCTTGGTAAATTAGCTTGTATATGCCATTCTACATATCTACAGAAGCAAATTCTACTATGTCCAGGATTTAAGCTTTGAGGTTCAAAACTGGACTCATCAACAGTATATATCCAAAATATAAAGTAAGTGAACATCTACATTTTAAGAAATAACTGTGTACCTGTGATGACTAATGTCCATTAAATAATTAATATCCACCACCAAGCAAAGATAATGGTGGTTCACTCTTCTCTGTTCCATCTTAAGATTGCTACTGACTTGAGGACAGATAGTGCGTTAAAAAGGTGTTCCTAGGGCCTAGCAAAGCAAGCAGATACGCATGTCTTCTTGGCTTCACAGGCCTCGGCACTGGCGGTATGAAGATAATGACACACCGGCCTGCCCTCAGGGGTCCACAGGCTTTTAAATAACAGCTTCCGAACAGTCTTTGGATGTGTTCATAGGACTTAGTGAGAAAAGCAGTTAAATGAAGGCACCATTAGATAGAGAAACAAGGTGCTGATGCTGGGAGGCAGTGACTTCTAGTCTGAAACCTGCAATATTGCTCAGGAGGTCCTCCTGCCCTAGAAGAAGGGGCTGAGCTTTGGCGCATGACCTGACAGAGGCTTAAGAACTGCTGAGGAGAAAAGACAGTCCAGGCTTCGGCCCTGTGTGTGTTCTCTCTCTGGCTGCTGCAGAGGAAACCAGGCTTCTGTCCCTCAGGGTGTTGGGAAAGAGGCTTTTCCAGTTTTTGAACCGGCAGATACTTAAGTTTGGGCATCTAGTTTTATCTTGTTACGTTACATTCACTAGTTAGCCTCAGGAATGAAAACAAAACACAGACATAGACATATGTGCCAGTGTGTCTTCATTTGTGACCTCCTAATTCACTGAGTTATAAGTCAAGGGAAATAGGCTAATCATGTGCCGAATTCTGGATAAATTAATTTCTCTCCTTTTTATCATATTTTCCAAGATGACTCTTAAGGTCTGGTGTGAGATTATTCCTTTTGTCTAGTGAAGAGTTTATCTTTACCACAAGAAAAAAAATGAAATACATGATCCAAACATAAACAACTAAAGCCCAATAAATGTAAAACTGATTACATTTGAGTAGTGGGTATGTATGTAGATAAAATAATAGGGGACAGTGTTTTGATAAAAAGTTTTTGTATACTCATGGGGCTATACTGTGCCCTCTTCGGCCCTAATCTTACACTGTGTCAGAGTAAGTCACCCAAATACACACACATACACAGTATTGCTTAATGGGAAGTGATTAAAACAGGTATTGTCTTGTGAGAGTACAATAATTGTATTTACACTTGTTAGCCTAAGGCTAGGTGACCACGCTATGTGAATAAGCAAATATTTAATACATGTAGTTCAGTTTTTCTTCATGAGATTTATTTTAATTAAAGATGAACTAGCTACTGCTAGGCTGAACTTGAGCCTTTTTTGAATTATGTATATAAATATAATTTGATTTCTATCAAATATCTCTTACAATGATAAAGCCAAATCAATGTATTTGTATCATGTTGAAAGATAATTTTAAGATTCTCTATTGATAATATTTCTTTGTTTAGCAAATACTTATATAGGACCTACTCTGTGCCAAGCACTGATCTAGGTGCTTAGAGAAATATTAACTCATTCAATACAAAAGCTCTGATTCACCATAAGAAAAGCTTAGAAACTGTCATTCCTAGACAATGAAGAAAATAATTTCTAACTAGAGTTACACAAATTCATCATCTTATTGTGCCTTGCACACATATACTTACTGTATTAGAAAGAAACCATATGTTACACTTTCATATTAAAGTCTTAGAGTATCCTAACTTGAATCATTCAGATTTGGCCTTGGGATATTTCTATTGAAAATTCTCTGAATTGATAAGTATCTAAATAATTTCTGTTTTTAAAAGCTAATTTGTTTTGAAATTATAGTTTTCATACTTCTGAGTGAAAAATACTATCAGAGAAGTAATTCCCTACATCTCTAAACAAATAAACCTTCTCTTAGACACTCAATAACCAGGACACCCTTATGATTAAGTTGAGTACAAAGATCCTTACTTCTGATGAAATAGTTTTTCAGCCTGTAGCATGTTAAAAATATAGCATATATCTCGAGGAGATGAACCAATAAATTATAGATCTTGTAGTTCAAAGCTGTGATGTCAAAAAATAAGTTAAAACCAAGTAACATTGGCAATATGTTTTAGTATAATTCAAATCCAGCTCCAGTTCGATAAAAAACCATGGTTTTTAAATTTATTTTTATTTTCTGTTTGGTTCAACTCCTTGCTAGTTCTTCTATATGATTTGTGGAAAATGCATGTTGCTTATTTTATGATCCTGTGCATGTGAATGGCTTTAACCTTTTTACAAAAACATCTCATTCATAGATGAAAGAACAGTGTGCCTTATGTTTGTCTGACAATTGTAAGGATAATTTTGAATGGAAATGCTACTGTTTAGTTTCCACAGTGCCTTCACAACCTGATAATCAGTTTTCCCACCCTGACAAACTCAAAAGGATGAGCAAGTCTGTTCCAGCATTTCTGCAAGATGAGGCAAGTTTGTCTTTTGTACCTTTAGAAAAATGAAACTGAATAGGTGGCTGTGCAATGCCAAGGTTGGCGTGTTTGTATTCAGTCATGGCAGAGACCAAAGAGGTCAGCAGGATTGACCCTTGCCTTTCCTGTCAATAGAGGTAGTGTCCCTGATCCTGGACATGTCTCAGTTGACTCAAACAGTAACTCTTTTTGGAAGTAAGGTCAACTTGCATAGATTTGGGAATGTGGCTTTTGTTTCAAAGTGAGTACAAAATAAGAAATTCAGGCATAAATATGTTGGCATGAACTAACCACTCTTCTGTAATTCAGAGTAGAAGTGATTTTTGAAAGCTTAGTACAGGTAACATGACTAGCTCAAAAGCATTTGCTAAAATAAGAAAGTAACAATGACATAGCAAACTTCAAGAATATCTGTCTACTGGGTGTAGGTACTTCACACATATTATCTCATTTAATCCTCCAGTGATCCTGGGAGGGGGGCACCATCATTATCCCTAGATATCACAGATGAGGAAACTGAGACTAAGCGAGGCAGAGTACTCCCCCCCCCTTAGTTAGAAAGGGGGTGAATTAGGGCTGGAGCCCAGATCTGAGGCCCATGCTGGTCGCCACTACACCTACTGTCTCAAATAAGAACAGGACTACTATCTCCTATTCACTGAGTGCCTAGTAAGTACCAAGCACTTAATATTCATTCTGATATCTAACACTCACTAACTAAATGTGGTTGGTACTGTTTTCTCCATCTTATAAAGGAGGTTTTATAAACCTCAGAGAGATTAAGAAACTTGCTCAAAATCCAACAGCTGCTTAAAAATAGATCAAAGACTTCAACTCAGATTTAAACTAAGATTCCATGTTCTTGCAGCCAGGTAGGAGCCTGAATTTTGGAGTCAGACATTCCAGGCCTGGCTGTGCTGCTGATTTGCTGTGTGATGATGGCCAAGTTCCTTAACTCCCCTGAGTTTGGGTTCCTAGACCTCATTAGGTTGTGTGAAGTCACTGCAATAATGCAGGGAAAACACAAGGCACCACCTGACACATAGTGAGTACCCGGTAAATGTCAGCTATTGCTATTTACGGTTTTGGTCTAATACTTGATGGTGAAGTAAAAAGCTTCATCCTCAAGCATTCTCTTAGCAGGTGGAATGTGAGGAAAGCTCTGGACAGCACATAAATTATGTCCCTCCTCCACCACCTCCTGGGTACCCTTCTGTCCATTCTTGGGCCTTAAATGAACTGTATCTGCAAAATGCCCTTCCATAGGATTAAGAGCCCATATGACAATTCTTTTGGAAAGAATCACTCATTCTGTGAAACTATCCCATTAGCTGGAAGCCAACGATAGGCACCTTATGAGTTCCAGCAGTTTTTACCTTATGCCTTGGTCTTGGCTGGCCACATGAATGAACCAAATCATAATTTGAGAGGCAAATGATACCAGTTCCTGGCTTTTTATTTTTCTCCTACCTTCAGTTTTAACCTGCTGCCTCATAGCTCTACACAAAAGAGAGTTTGCACATCAGAGATGCCAAATTAAGCTGTGCCATTTTACCTCTCAAAGTACATGGGTTGGACTGAGTGTTAAAGGAAGTGGAGATGAAATCAGGCCTTGCTCTTTTGTCCACTGTCCCTTTAGGGCTTAGCATCAGTCAAGTTTGTTAAGTGCCAGTTATGTGAAAATCAGTGTTCCAGGTCAACAAGATGGGGTCCCACCCTTCCAATAATTCACAAATGATCGGATACACTAGGTAGAATAGAGCTTGTTATAATAAGGGAGATGGACTGTAAGCATGTGGAGAGAGAGTGTGACAACATAAAAAAGGTATGGATATCTTTTCATCCTTGAGGGGGTATTCTTTTCTCATCCATGTAAGTCATAAATTTTGTTTTTCTTTAATTTTTCCTTTCTTAATCTGCATTAGAATTGGCATCTGTTACCTTAATACATGATTGCATGACCCTGGAATATGTTGGCATGAACTAACTACTCCTCCATAAAGGTGTTTCCCTAACCCCAGGAGCCACCAAACTGCTCCATAAACTCTCCAACTGCAAAAGGAGCTCATTCTGAGTCATGCATTTTTAAAGCTCCCCTCTAATAAACTTTAGATCTAAATACAGTAAAATTTATTATTGCCACTTTTCTCTCTTGACCCAGGTAAATATTTCCTGGGAGATATTTAAAATAAATATCTTGCTGCTATTTTTTAAAAAAAGTTAAAATCTAATGTGGATAGAATGTATAATTTAATTCATGTCCCTATAGCAACAAAAAGATAAATACGATAGCACCATAAAAATACACAAGAGGTGGTTTACATTTAAATATATATATGATTTTTAGTTGAACCAATCAGACTAGTATTTATTTTTCCTAGTTTAACAGTGTCCCAAGTAAAGGATTTGATTTTCAGGGAGGTTAAGGCTATATTATTAATGATAAGAATTAAATGTGACATTTTATGTTTTGCCAATAAATCTTAGACCTTTTATTATCTGGCTAAAGTTAATTTCTCATATTTATCAATCAAATTCTCCAATCAACATAAATACATAATATTAAAAGAGAGACAGGAAAACTCACAGTAGTGCTGTCTGCTGGAGCATCTTGGGACCACCTTGTAGGTGAAAAACAAAACCACCCTCTTCCTTAGGTGAGGTCCAAGTGGACCACCCACCCAGTCCTGAATCCCATTCCCTGGCAGTTAGTACTAGCATGCTTTGACCTTGGGAAATGTCATAGATCAGGGGGATACCAAGACATTATCTTTATGTAAACAGACATTCTGCTCTTGACTCATTGTGAATTTGAATTTTGTGTATATCCTATGATGTTTTGTAGAGTGATGACAGAGAAACAGATACAGCATCAGAAAGCAGTTACCAGCTCAGCAGACACAAGAAGAGCCCCAGCTCTTTAACCAATCTTAGCAGCTCCTCTGGCATGACGTCCTTGTCTTCTGTATGTAAACAAAGGCTCTGTGTTAATATATCTGCCTCTGTGAACCTTGGCCTGCCACACTCCTGCTTACTGTAAAATGGCCCCCTGTTGTATTTTGCAGATTCCAAAGGCACGAATTTTTTTCTAGCCCACGTTTAGCTTTTGACTAGCTAAATCTTCCTTTTTCTTCTTCTTTTTAGCATAATAGAGTTCATAACCATTATAAGCAATAAGGTTTCTTTGTATGTAAGTACTTAAAAAATAAACCTGAATTAGCAAGATGAACCACTGAATTTTTCTGTGCAGCAAATGGGGTAACTAGCATAAAGCCTGCTTATATCAGATACACTTTCAGATACAGCTTGCAGGTGTAGAATTGTACTGCGCTGTTAGCAAGCCTGATAAATAACAGTACTGATTCACATGAGAGAATAGGAGAGGTGATTATCTGCTTTATAGAAGGATTGAGAACAGGGTTTTAAGAGGAAAGCTACCTAAATGTAATTGCTCAGATTTCATTTGGAGAATTTGACTTTACATAGAACTTCTTTCATAGAGTAAAAGAAGTTGTATGAACATGTAGTATATGTGTAGAAATATATACATAAATATATCCACATATACTTATCCAAATATTTCTCTGATATACGTACACATATACATATCTTACCAGGTATGTTAAGCAAATGATAAAGGTATTCTTAAATTCTTACTAGCCTTGCATCTCTATTTTTTAAAATTGTTTTAAACTGAATCTCTGATAACAATCAAATATATGACCTTGGGAGGACATTAAACTCCCTTCATCAATCATCCATTTTCTACCCTTCCTGACCTCTAAAAGCGTATCGCTCAGTCAGCATTTTCCTAGATTCAGTGGTAGGGTAACATAGTAAAATTCCTTTTTCGTGCCTTGGAAATTTGATAGAGCAATGTGTCACTGTGATTGGTGGGCCTGTAATTTCTCACATCCTCTTTAACATTTTGAATCCTAAGCATGCTTCAAAATGGAAGGCTGAATGCCCCCTACCATAAAATGACCCTGCTTTGAAATGAGCCAGCATCTAAATAACTGTGCATTTCGACTTTTCATCTATGTCTTTCAGCGGCATTTTTTTTTTAAACACTAGTCATGTCATGTATATCTTGTCAGAGTGTCTGTGTTGGTGTGTCTTTATGCCATATTCAATTAACTGCCTTTATATGCAAACTAGAGAAATAAGGGCAAGCAAGGATTGTATCTGGGATCCTTGTGTTAGGTTCCAGAATGACATAGGGACAAACACTGCGTGTTTCCAATGCTTCCAGGTGAGCGGCAGCGTGATGAGTGTTTATAGTGGAGACTTTGGCAATCTGGAAGTAAAAGGAAGCATTCAGTTTGCAGTTGACTATGTGGACTCACTGAAGGAGCTGCATGTGTTTGTGGCCCAGTGTAAAGACTTAGCAGCAGCAGATATTAAGAAACAGCGTTCGGACCCGTAAGTACATTCAGGAGTCACTATGTTCTCTTTGTTACTCTTAGTGGGAAAGAAAGCAAACAATTGAAGGGAGGGTATGTCTGTGACTGTATTAAAAGGAATGTTTTCAAACAAAAGTTGGGGGAAAATGCTGGTTTATCTACTTTGTAAATTCATATGCCAAGCTTGTGAAATTATAAAAATGTCAGAGAAGCACAGAGTGGTTCCAGTTGGAAGGGACCTTTCAGATCATCATTCCTTCTTTTTATATTAAATAAGGCAACAAGGGCCAGAGAGATAAACAGTTTATTTACATAAATACAGATAGCAGCAAAATGATGAATGAGGTCTTGGATCTTAGTCTTTCCAAGACACACTCAGCCTTTCTGTAAAATTAGGGACATGTGAAGCATAGTCAGTGTTCAGTGGTGTAGAAATAGGTAAGATTCTAGACTGAGGTAGTTTCCAAATTGAATTCTGTTCTACAGAAGAACTTGAGGGAATTACCAATTCATCTTTTAAATTATAGGTTTAATTGAATTTCAGTTTCTTTGCCAAAGTTTAATAGTATTCCTCATTTATCCCTATGAAGAAGTTTGATTCATAATTATTTTGCTCATGTTGGCCCAATCCTTTGTGCTTTGATTATAAAAACAATTGAAGCAAAAGCCTGATACCAATAACCTTTTTTTTCACATTGAATATGGCTTGATTAGGTGTGTGCTAAGATTAATTTTGTATTCAGAAGTCAGTGACAAAAACTTAAAAGAAACTGTGCAAGCACCAAAACCTTTTCTAATAGGAAACAAGCCAGTAGAATTAAGTGCGACACTAGATATCTGCCCCCTATCACTCCCCTCATTAGGTAGGGCCAGAGGAAAAAAGGAATTCAGGAACTATTCTAGGAACTATCCCTTAAAAGTCTTTAGAACAATATAAAATGATCAATTTTGCTGAAATCTGTTTAAATGATCAAGTCTAAATCATGAAGGTGTTGGTGAGAACATTTTGCTACTGCCTTTTCTCACTGTCTTGAAATAATGTCTGTGAATTTCCAATGCATTTAAAATGCATTTTATAAGTAGAGGTGGAAACATTTTTATTTTCTCTGACCTTCTTGTCTGTTCAATTTCTCTTTTTAGATATGTAAAGACCTATCTGTTACCAGACAAGGGCAAAATGGGCAAGAAGAAAACCGCTGTAGTGAAGAAAACTTTGAATCCTGTGTATAACGAGATACTGCGGGTATCTATGAAGTGTCTATCTAGGAAAATCCTAAATGGTGACCTGTCACTATGATTGCATTTAAATAGTCATGTCTTCTTGGGTAGTGTCTCTACAGGTGAAGTCAGATGAAGGAGAAGGAAAGGAATAAACATTTTCTGAGAAACTGCTTTGCATGAGACAGTATACCATGAATGTCCAAGGCAGTATCTCATTCACTCCCCACATACCCTGCCAGGAGGGTATTATTATCTGCATCTCACAGATGGCAAAGGAAGCTTAGAGACATTAGCTTGGTCGAGGATAACAGCTGAGAAAATTGAGCATTGCAGCCAAAATGATCTTCTGGAAGTATAATTCTGATCATGTTATTTTTCTTCTTAACATCTTTTAGGATTCCTGTTACCATTAGGGCCAAGTCCATCCTTCTTAACATGCACGCCAGTCCCTTCACAACCAGAGCTCCAACCTCGTCTTCCCACTGTCCCCGATTCCTTTCTGTTCTCTGGAGGAACTGCATTTTCTCACACTGCTGAGACTTTCTGGTCCTGCAGCCTGAGATGTTCTTCCCCACATTCTATCCCTAACTACTTCCTACAGCCTTAAATGCCTCTTCCTATGAAAAGCTGCCATTAATCCTCAAGTCCCCTACCGTCTGCTCCCTCAGTCCCCTTGTTGAGGCTCTGTTAACACCAAGCACTTTAACTACTGGTTTCATTGTCTGCTTTCCCATTAAATTGTAAGTTCCATGAAGGCAGGCACCAACTCCGTGTTGTTTATAAACCATGTTCCCTTACCTGTTTGTACTTCAGATCTGCAAAAGAGAGATAATAATAGCACCTACCTCAGTGGTTGTGAGCATTATGAGTTAATATGTGTGAAGTGATTAATCTACATTAAAAACTTAGTAAATGTTGATTTACTAAGTACAGTATCTGGGATAGGTCCTCAAAAAAATGTCTGTTGGAAGGATATAGATGGATGGACAGATGATGGAAAATATCCCAGGGTCAAATACCCATATTTTTCCCCCAGTCTGCACCATGTTGCCTTAGCCATAAATAACAGATAATTTAAAACTAAAACATAAGCATTATTCATTTCCTCTTTCTGAAAATTCTGCCCAAGTATTTGACTATCCTCTGAGAAAAAAAGAAGCAGTTAAATTAACTCCCAGTCACCTGTTTTGGGGTAAATTTTCTGTAGCCAGTTTTTAATTACAGTTTAACTATGACATGCCTCAACAACCCAGCTATTTCTAGGTCAGCTACTACAACCCTATACTCAGGAGAAGCCAGCCAATTTAAACGGCAAACTCTGACAGGCAAGCCCACTACCACCACAGTGGACGTTCAAGTGGTACATCATAAAGCCAAATGGAGATTATTTTTAGATTAGAAGTACTATTATCCCTTCCAAAATTTTATGCAATCAAGGATTGACTACATTTTAGATGAAAAAATTGTTAGGATGCCAAATATTTTCCACTTGACCATGTAAAGCAGGAAAACACAAGTATATCTTTTCTTGAAAATTGTCTTGTTTTTGCAGGATAGCAATAGTGGGAGAGGTTTGTGTATATGGAAGCAAGTGGTATGTGCGAACTCTCTGTACTTCCCACTCAATTTTCCTGTGAATCTAAAACTGCTCTAAAAAGTAGAGTCTATTACAAAAATATCTTGTTCTTAGGTAGAAAGCAGACCCATTGGATCAAACTTCATTTGTATTTTTAGACTGATTTTGATTTACGTTATATCGAGTTAGAACTAAAAACATCCAGTAAAAAAATGAATAACTGGCTTTTGTGTTTAGAGAGTTATTATTGGCTATGATATTTGAGCCATGGTTTGCTTTTACTGAGAAGGGAAGAAAAACAGCTATTGTGAAAGATGGATTTTAGCTCTTTGAAATAAGACACTTAGAATAAGGTGACTTTGTCCTATTTTTGAGACTTGAAACCTAACAGATGAGAAAAACCTCATCTACACAGATGACTTTTCTCTTCATCTCTGTGTCATAACTTTGGCATAAAGTAATATCACTCACCACTTTAATTTCCTTCTTTGAACTGCAGTATAAGATCGAAAAGCACATCTTAAAGACACAGAAGCTGAACCTGTCCGTTTGGCATCGGGATACGTTTAAGCGCAATAGTTTTCTAGGGGAAGTGGAACTTGACTTGGAAACTTGGGACTGGGACAATAAACAGAATAAACAATTGAAGTGGTACCTTCTGAAGCGAAAGGTAAGTTCAGAGGTTTTGTTTTAGTTGGTTGATTGGTTGGTTTGAGGCCTGATGTGTAGGAGAAAGCTACAATAAAATAACATTTTACTTCAGAATGCTAATCCATAGGTTTTGGACCATTATAACTTTTCAATCTGTCCCATATATCTCTTATGCTCTTCTCTGTATTTCCTGTTCTTTTTCTTTTCTCTCTATGCTTTGGACTATTTTTTGCTAGTTTATCTTTCAGCTCAATAATTTTCTTATCTGCTATGTCTAATCTGCTGCTATGCCCATCTGTAGGTTTTCCATTATTGTATTTTTCAGATTTATATTTTTATTTGATTCTTTTTCATAGATTCTACTTCTCTGCAGAAAGTCTCCATCTTAACATTATCTTTTTGGCTATATTAATCAAAGTTATTTAGAATGTGTATCTGAAAACTCCAGTATCTTAAGCATCTGTGAGTCTCTCTTCTCTAATTTTTTATCTTCATGTAGCCATTTGGTCCTTTGTCCTGGTAGGCCTGTTTATTTTTTATTGGGTGCATGCTGGACATTGCATGTTAAAAATTCTAGAGGTAGTTGGAGACGCTTTGCTTTTGCTTCTGACACACAAAGTAGGGACACACCACTCTAATGTAGTCTGAGGATGAACTGACTAGGATTTGGGGTTCAGTTTTCACGTGGTGTGATGTAGTTTGTTTCTTGGTTTTTTTTTGTAGGTTTTTTTTCCTCTATTCTGAGGCATAGAATTCCTAGGGTTCCAACTAAAAGCCTAAGGAAATCGTTTTCAAATTGTAGCAGGCATCCAGTTCATCTAAAAGACTTATTAAAACAGATTTCTGTTTCTATTCCTAAGGTTTCTGATTCAGTAAGATCTGGATGCAAGAGTATACATTTCATACAAGTTCCTGCGGATTGCTGATTCTGGGGTCTGGGGACCATACTTTGAGAATCCCTTGGTTATCTGTGTATTCCAATTTGTTTCCCCAGCCCCATCAGACTGCCAAAACCCTGTTCAGTTTCTTAGTTTCTTTCAGTCAGATTTTTATGCTTTATTTTGGCTTTACTTAAAAATCAGCTAATGCTTCCAAGTGGAAAGCAGAGAAGATATCAGGCTCGAAGATCTTATCCATTTGAACCCTGTCTATCTTAGTAATTGTTGAGTATTTTCAAAGAGATTTTTAAAAATTATTCTCACTGTGAGGGGTAGTGTGATCCCAGCTAGACCCTCATAGGTGGAAGTGATCAATATAAGCAATATGAACCATTATTTAGCATCTACATAATAAAACAGTTCCACTTAAAGAAATGGTTCCGAAATATTGATCAGAATTACCTGAAGCAGTTATTTCTGGCTGTACCCAAGATTTGCTGGATTTGAATTCCTCAGGAGATATCAAAAGCTTCTTATTTTTAACCAACTGACCATATGTTTCTGATGCATAGCCATGTTTTGGAAATAAGGCTCTAAATAAAGGACCAGAATTTGAAAGTAAAACCATCTTTGTTGTACTGGAAAATAATACATATACACTTTGAAATTACTGTCCAGTCTTTGTTATTCTTATAGATATCTACCCATTTGGTCTAAAATAAACAGGTTAATGCAACTTTACAATATTTGGCATTTTCTCCCTCTCCCTTCCCACACTCTTCTTACTCTTTCAAAAAAATATACACGTAGATTGTTCTATGTGCTGAGTGACTAAAAAAAATGTATGTATTTTAATAAAAACCAAAGCACCCCAGAGCACCTCTCCCATCTCCAAGAAAGCCTTTCAGATTCTCCACTATCTTTGAGTCTAAAGACCTTGAAGTGTCTTCTGGGTACCTTGTAAGTTTTTGCAAGATACACAATATAGGTCCCAGATAAAAAAAAAAAGCAACTATTTAGCTTTGATGGGGAAGGAAGTTTTAATCCATGGCATTCCAAAGTGATACGTAGTCCAGAAATGGGGCAGATATGGCGGTATATCAATACCAACAAAGAGGGCAAATAGTTTGTGTCCTTCCAAATGTCCTGCTGACGTTCCTTCATTGTTCAGACTGCACCGGTTGCCCTTGAAGCAGAAAACAGAGGTGAAATGAAGTTAGCTCTCCAGTATGTCCCAGAGCCAGTTCCTGGTAGGTAATGACTTTCCATTTTTGTGCCCCTTTCTTATCCCTCCCTTTTCTAAGTATTTCTTTGGGTTCTGTATTATCAAAGGTGAAGCCCTAAACAAACTTAACTTAGCAGTTATAAAGACCAAATGAGTCAATTCACAGTTGTGAACTATAAAATTTTTTTTATTATTCTGGTAAAAAGCACATAACATAAAATTTACCATCTTAACCACTTTTAAGTGTATCATTAGTAGTGTTAAATATATTCACATTGTTATGAAACAGATCTCCAGAACTTTTTCATTTAGCATGTTGGAAACTCTGCAGCCATTCAGATACATCCCTTTGCCCCTCTTCTCCCAGCTCCTGGTCACCAATCATTCTACTTCCCATTTCTATGAGAAAAATTCTCATTTTTTTTAAGTCCAGTTTACCATTCTTGTTTTATCTTTCACCTCACTCTCCAAAAAGTTTGTGTCTGCACTATGTGAATGGCCTTTCCTGTATTTGGAATTTGATGCTATTGATAGTGCTACGATTAGAATGGGACCAGAATGTTCTTTTTCATAGGTGGAAATTGGAGGAATTCATATGAAGCTGTTAAGAAATTAGAGCTCATTGGTTCTCCACTTTCAAGGTCTCATCAGGAGCGAAAGCTTTTCCTTAAGATTACTGATTGCACCCTTGTTGTTAGGGCCTGAGGGCTGCAGCCCAGTTAAGGAGCAAGAGATTGGCAGGAAACAAAAGCCATCCCCCATCTCATTTCCCAAGCAAGTTTCCCATTATTCTCCTTAAAATCTGTATGATTGTTATGACTGAAATCAGAGGTTGCAAACTCACTTTCAGTAACCAGACTATGAAGCTAGTAGGATGTAAGAAATCATGGATGGTGAGGGCAGTGAATGAACTAAAGAAAGGCATTTAATTTAGTTAAAAAAAACAAAAAGGGTCAGAGGACAAGCAAAATATATCTTCAGGCTATGTGGCTGCCAAACCACCATCTTGTTACTTCTAAATCTTCCTAAAAGGCAGAAGCTTTTATATATAATTTGTATCTTATAATTTATGGTCAACATGCATAGACATTCTACCAACCTCATTTCCCCCACTATCATTTCTTAGTGGTAGTGAGGTGGGGTGGTCAGGTCAGTGTAGTGATGGGCTCCACCTTGTCTGAGTTTTTGTTCATGTAGTTTATCTTGTCTGGAATGGCTTCTCCTTCTCCCCAACCTATCTAAGGCTTAGACAAAGTCCCATTTCCTCCATAAAGCTTTTCCTGACTGTATTTGTCCCCACTGATCACATAATCATCTAGAACATTACAGTAAAAATTTGACATTTCATTCTATAGAACATTTTTATCATTTTTATTTAAATTGCTCTCTTTAGTTTCACTATGAAAATTTCCCAAGGACATAGATTTCTTACCTTCCTTGTATATAGCCAGTGACATTCCTAGCATAGGGCTGAGTATATAATAGATGCTCATTAATTACCGGTTGGTTGACTGGGTTAACCCATTCAGAAGAATTAATGTTCCTCTGTCCATGTGCACCTAACCTAAACAAAAACCAAAGACTAAGCTAACTTCTCAGTAATTCCCTGTCCATAATATTAATTCCTATGCGTATCTATACAATATTTCTACAAAGTACGTAACCACTTCTAATAAAAAGAGTGGCTATACACTAGCCATTATCTGTTTGGTTACTTTACACTCGCATATGTTTAAAATGCCTCCCATCAGTACCAACTGATATTAGCATTAACATTTGAAAGGTATGTACACTTTTACTGAGATGTTTTGAATATACCCTAATCAATGGATGATTCATACACCTGATATCTGTAACTGATCTTGTTGAACCAAGCCAAACCCAAAAAGAATGATGTAATGCTCTGTACTTGGAATCAATATAAATTATTTTCATAGAGCCGTCTGAGCTCAGTGCAGCCAGACTAGGAAAGATTTAGTAAAGAATGTGTAGATTTAACCGATGAGGATAAATCATGCTCTAGCCAGCTAGTATCCTTGTGCCAGACTATTTTTAGGTTGGCTTCTGTAGAAGCAGTGTCGCTGAAACAGGAATGGCAGGGACATATCATTTTCTCTCTTTTTTCAGTTACAGGTAAAAAGCTTCCTACAACTGGCGAAGTGCACATCTGGGTGAAGGAATGTCTTGATCTCCCACTGCTAAAGGGCCACCATCTAAATTCTTTTGTTAAATGGTAACCGCATTGATATCTCAGTCTCTCTGCGTTCTGTGATAGCTGGGCCTTTGCTGGTTAGTTTCATTTCTCCATGTCTGTGATGCTGAAACTCATCATTCATAGTTTAAATGAAATAACTTGAGACAATGGTGACATGAACTGGAGGGGTCTGGGACTTGAACCCCCAAGGTTTCATTTAAAGTCACAAAGGTAAGAGGGCATATATACAAATGAAACTAAAAACTTTATACTCAAATATCTAATGTCTTCTAGGAGGTACATCTCTGGTAAGGATGATATTCAATATGAAAGAATTTTATCAAATTTCTAGTGGTGGGATGCCCTACCCTTTGGCTCCTTTGTGGAGCAGGGAGAATTCTTCCTCTTGTTCTTTGTCCCAACTGTTTTATGGCCTGTTTGTAAAACGCCTTTCTTATCAGCCTGGAAGTATTTGGAAAATGATTTGTTTAGCAGACCCCTACTAATAGTTAGCTCATAAAAGCTTAAGATAATTGCGTTTTCAAGTAGCAAACATTTTTCTTGTTATCCTTGTAATTGCTGGCATCTAGTAAACTGTAACTCAACAGAGATATTAGTGAGTGAGCTGCTAGCTCCCTCTGACTAATTTTATCTATATAGATTTTACCAGAAGACCAGATTTAGTACTATTTAAGTTTATATAACATTATTTATGATTTTCTCTATAGGTTCAGTCTCCCATTCCAAAACCACTCTTAGACCTTTTTTGCCTTTATAAGAGGCATGGAAGGTTAAAGTCATTCAATTATTGTAAATTAAATATCAATGATTTAAAATATTTGTACTTTTCTGTTTGCATATAAAAATGTATATGCAATATATATAATTTATTCCCAAAGTCAAATCTAGCAAAAATTCAAGAGATTCTCTTTTTTTAAACTTCTGTACAAGATGAATTCCTTATGCCATCATGGATTATCAGGAACAGAGCATGTTTCCAAATTATAAAGGAATCCTCAAACATTTGCTACCATATTAAGTGCTTACTAAATGCAGCATTGAACTGAGTTGTTTGCTTCATATGTAGTTCTTGGATTAACTTTATGAAGCAGGCATCAGCATTCCCATTTTAAAGATGAGGAAGCGAGTGTCTGAGAGGTTAAGTGACTCTGTAGAATACACAGCCAATAAATTGGTCCACTCTTTCCAGCAGGATGGCCCCCAAGTCCCCACCCACTATACTCCTCCTTCCTCCATTTCCTTCTACCAATCCTCAGTAGCTGTGCTGAGTGCATTGAAAACATTAAGTGTTCGCTGTCTTATTAAAATGCTCTCACAATGTTTCCTTTTGTAGTACCATCCTTCCAGACACAAGTCGGAAAAGTCGCCAGAAGACGAGAGCTGTAGGGAAAACTACCAACCCTGTCTTCAACCACACTATGGTGTACGATGGCTTCAGGCCTGAAGATCTGACAGAAGCCTGTGTGGAGCTTACCGTCTGGGACCACCACAAGTTAACCAACCAGTTTCTGGGAGGTCTTCGGATTGGCTTTGGAAAAGGTAACATTTGTTACATTTTTAATTCCCTGTGAGCCAGATGCTTCTAGAGACACTAGAGGTTGATTTGTTTGTTGTGTTGCTTCTTCCTGGTGAAAACAGATATTTTGTTTCCATCAAAAGTAATGAAATTACTGACTGAAGGAATGTCAGGTTATGTGCCAAGGGTCTAGATATGAAGATTAACAGGATACGGTGTCTGTCCACACAGAGCAGACGTTACTGGGGTGGGGTGGCAGGACAGAAAAGTCTTCATCACTACTTGTCTCTGAAGAAATATTTGTGGCCCTTTCAAACTAAAAATGTATTTTAAATATCATAGTAAATATCGTTTACAGACTCAATAACCATACTGAGTGCTTTAGTTACATTATTTCATTTAATCCTCGCAGCAGTTCTGCAAGTAGTTACTATTATCTCCAGACAAACTGGTATTTCAAGAAACCAGAGCTAATAAATGGCAGAGCAAAATTCAAAATTGAGTCTGTTAGACACTAAAACCCCAGCACTATATTTCCTTAGAAATCATCTAGTGTCACTTCCAGCCCAATGCAGGAACCCTGTCTTTGCCCCAGGCAGATTGTCATCTAGTTTTTATATGAACATAAAGAGAAGTCATTGTTCTGGGAGCAATGGGGGTGATCTGGACCATAGTGTGTCCCATTATTGGACCCCTCAGATGGTGAAACAGTTCTTTCTTATATTGAGTCCCACATATGCCTTCCCAATGATGTCAAAACTCTTCCTAGCTGTCCGCTGGTGATAATTTTTCTATTAGGGAATGACCCCTTTTCCTCCAATGAGCTATGCATTTCTATACTGCAAGCTTCCTTTTTTCAGGTAAAAGCTATGATACTGAAGTGGATTGGATGGACTCTACCTCAGAGGAAGTTGCTCTCTGGGAAAAGATGGTGAATTCCCCCAACACTTGGATTGAAGCAATCCTGCCCCTCAGAATGCTGTTGGTCGCCAAGATTTCCAAATGAACCCAAAGTCCACGGGTTCCTTCCCTGGAAACTACTAAACAGGTAGAATCTGATCTTGCAAATCTGACTTTGTGGACAAAGATCCTTACCTTCTATCTATTGCCATTAATGAATGCCACACAGCATGTTCAAGTCAACCTGCATGTACTTCTTTGGTTACAAGGCCCCAAGAGTTTAGGAAGAACAAAGTGTGTAACTTCTTTGTGATGCTAACATTAAAGAAGATATTTGAGAAAACTAAGAAAATCGAACTGTTTCTGCTGCTTCAAAGAACAAACTGCCAAAAATATTTAATGGGGGTTGTTGTTAATGAACAAAATTTCTCAGTTTCCCATCACGTGTTTCACACCACAGTATCCTGCTCCAATTAGGAGGGCTTGCCACTTGATGGTTGAAAACCCTTGTGTGGAAAAGCTACAGAAAGATACTCCTACGAGGGGGAAAATGGCAGGATATCAATGATGGTAAAGAATTTGACCATAAGAGAACTATTTACTGTGTAATTGCTATTCAGCTATGGATCCATGTTAGGACAATGGGACTGAATTTACTGCATGTATTTTTGCCTTGAGGAGCTGGGGTCTTTTTTCCCAGTGTTAAGAACAGCCTCATGTGTGCTCTGGTGCCACCCACTGGCCATAGATGGAATTCAGTTTTTGGCTTAATTTTCTCCTAAAATAGATTTCCAGACTGTATTATAATTGAATATGTAAAAAACAAAAATAAAAACAAAAACTTTGCATATGTAAGATTCTGTTTTTCTCATAACTCTACTATATGGAAACAGCATGAGAATGATCTCAGACATGCTTTGCAACAAGGTTTTAATTAGAATGTAAATTGTTAATTATGCTGTACTTCCTATGTATGTATAATTTTCATAAAGTATTTTGTAAAAACCCTTAGAATAAATTATTATATGATTTTGTTGTATTGTCAAATTACTTTGATATCTTATTTTAGGTGAAATACTTTATGTTAGGAATCCTAAAATCTAAATTCCTTAGCAAGGCTAACAAACTTCTGCTGGGCTCATATTTCTCAGTTGTCTTTACTACAACTCTGGACATCATTTCTTCTAAGTGGGAAGCTTTGGCTATATTACTGAGTAGAATTTTTATTTTAAAAATGTAGTTGAAAAGCTTTGAAGATAAGTTAACATTAATCTTTGAAAAATTTTCCATGGAGATATCACTGGGTTATTTTAATATATAAAACATTATTTCCTCTTAGGACCCAACTAGCTTGTCTTTCCCAAAATAAGGACTGATTTAATATAGGGTAGGTAGGGGAAGCTTGGATGGGGGAGTGTGATAAGAGATGTCTTAACAAGTATCATTGAAACACCTAGAGTGCTTGCCTCCTCCCCTAACAGATGTTAGAACCTTCTACCCACTTGCCAGTAAGAGTGATGAATCTAGAACAATGCTTCCCATTGTCTCTCAAGGTCTTTTCTGGAGGATTTTAATCTAGCTCTATTCTCTCTTCCTGTTCTGACCATGGGGAGGGGCAAGATGAGCTGATGGGGATACACCTCCACGTTGGCCTGGAACAGTAACAGAAGTACAAAGTACAGCACAAGCTACTTTCTCAGCCCTCCTTTGAGTTACCTGCTCAGTCACCTCCCAGCATCAGCTAGTTCTGGAGTGCTAATGAGACTGGTTCAAGCATCTCCCCATCTAGGATGAAGATTGCCTGCCTCTTCCCTTCCCTGCATCCCTGACTTGCAAAACACTGGAGTGATGGATAGAATCAGCTGGCCTGCCTCTGTGCGCAGCACTTCTGACTGCCTCAGTACATCCAAGGGTATTTCATGTCACTTTTTTTTTCTGATAAAGGAAATATTTAACTTTAATCTCACCTGATTACTAAAGGAAAGCCAAATGGGAATTTCATGCATTATAAAGTTATCCTACAGAATTAAGAAGAACTACAGGGGCCTCATTAGTTGGGACTCATAGGCAGGTCCCAGGAACTCAGATACTGCCTCTCATCTTCCTCAGGGAGTGGCAAATAGCACCACGGCAGCTCCAGCTTCACAGACTCTCAGCTCAAGTGCTTCTCTTTCCTAGGTTCTGCTTGAGAGATCTCTGGGAGAGATGGGCCAAGTCTGGGTCAGGTCCCCACTTATTGGCCAGGAATAGCTGGGGAAAGAGTTTATGATTGATCCTGCCTGGATTGTATGTCCACCCTGTGGCCAAGGAGAAGTAATCCATTATTAGAAGACTGGAATGTAGTGTAGACATGGGCTCTGGAGAAATCAAGAGCTGAGCAGTCATACAGGTGGTGTCTCCTTCCAGAGAAAATGCTTCAAAATTACATTATTTTTAAAATGGAGTTATTGTTGAAAGATTCATTGCTGACTTTCCAGAGAGGTCTAAATTTCCCCCATCTACTATTCCTGCTGCAGCTTCTGAGTAGGTGGTAAGGATCATGGGAATCCCACAGCCTGTTCACATGGCCTCGGTGTCCACCGAAAGCATGAGGACTGTTAGCCTAGGTACACTTCTTCCAGGGAAGCCTAGCTATGTGTGCCAGGGAGCTGGCTGGATTTTGCACCTCACTGTCATCCACACTCACCATCCACGTCAGAAGCCCCTGAACATCTACCTTCTCCTGTACTCTCATTCTCATTCTGTGTTGGGATTGCTCTCCCATCTCCTCTCCTATCTTCAGTCCCTCCCAGGCTTATTTACTAATCTTGCCAGTTTGTTTCACAAAACAAATGCCCCCACATGTTCAATCCAATTGCATAACATCCCTTCCACTTATTCTGTTGACTTGTTCCAAGAGAACTGGTTTTCCTTCAGCCTTATGAAAGGAAGCCTCCACTCCTCCACACTCAGTACCTCAGTCAGGATGTGGACTCAGACTTCAGATTACTGCTTAGCTATCTTTATTCTTTGAGATGAGTAGTATGTCTAATTTATCTGTGATCACATTAGCAGTTATCACATTGAGTTGCTGTTTTTTTTCCATTTGTCTGTCTCCATCTTTAGACTGTAATCATCTTAAGAGCTAGAATTGAAAGCTTGGACATAAGTCTCCTCAGAATGTGAATTGAATGAATGAATGAATGAGCAAATAAATTAATGAAGTGTGATTGAAGGTCCATGAGCTTTGGTATCAAAAAGGTCTAGGTTTGAATTCTGGCTATATAATTTACTCTCTGGGTGTCCTGGCGCAACTTGTTTAACTTCTCTGTGTCTTAGTTTGTTCCCTGTAAACTGTAAAATGTGGATAATAATGATTACTTTTCAAGAATATCATTATAATTAAATGAGAGAATATGTACAAATCCACAGTACTGTGTAGAATATATAGAAGAACTCTGTAAATAATAGCTTTAAAAAAGAGACATTAAAATACATAACTAAGGCAATTAGAAGGGACTCATTGGTCACAACTAGGGGGAGAATCGCCCAAGTTTTATGCCTTGGACCTCTGGGAAGGAACTATGCTGGATGCTTTCAGCTTCAAAGGTAGCTGGGAAAAAAATGGTAGAACAAAGAAACATCCATGGCATAGAGGAGCCAAAAGTTAACGTTATGAAGCTATAAATTCTCTGCAAAGAGTGGTGGTATCTAATTTATTAATGTACACTTAGCATCTAGCGGTGTACCATATATTGCAAACGTTTGTTGAATAAGTCAGTGAGTGAATATTGATTAGGATCTTGGGAGATACTGAGCCTTGACAAGTAATCCTTGGATTTAATATTATTTAAAATAATTAATGAAGGAGAAATGTTTGGTTTTTTTCTTTGTTCTTATACTCCACAGATGAGTGAAATCATTTGATACTTGTCTTTCTCTGCCTGGCTTATTTCACTGAGCATAATACCCTCTAGCTCCATCCATGTTGTTGCAAATGATAGGATTTGTTTTCTTCTTATGGCTGAATAATATTCCATTGTGTATATGTACCACATCTTCTTTATCCATTCATCTACTGATGGATACTTAGGTGGCTTCCACTTCTTGGCTATTGTAAATAGTGCTACGATAAACATAGGGGTGCATATATCTTTTTCAAACTGGGCTCCTGCATTCTTAGGCTAAATTCCTAGGAGTGAAATTCCTGGGTCAAATGGTATTTCTATTTTGAACTTTTTGAGGAACCTCCATACTGCTTTCCACAAAGGTTGAACTAATTTACATTCCCACCAGCAGTGTAGGAGAGTTTCCCTTTCTCCATATCCTCACCAACATTTGTTGCTGTTTGTCTTTTGGATGTTGGCCATCCTAACTGGTGTGAGGTGATATCTCATTGTGGTTTTAATTTGCATTTCCCTGATGATTAGCGATGTGGAACATCTTTTCATGTGCCTTTTGGCCATCTGAATTTCTTCTTTGGAGAAGTGTCTGTTCAGATCCTCTGTCCATTTTTTAATTGGATTATTTGCTTTTTGTTGTTGGATGTGTGTGAGCTCTTTGTATATTTTGGATGTAAACCCCTTATTGGATATGTCATTTATGAATATATTCTCCCATACTGTAGGATGCCTTTTTGTCCTACTGATGTTGTCCTTTGCTGTACAGAAGCTTTTTAGTTTGATATAGTCCCATTTGTTCATTTTTGCTTTTGTTTCCCTTGCCCAGGGAGATATGTTCATGAAGAAGTTGCTCATGTTTATATTCAAGAGAGTTTTGCCTATGTTTTCTTCTAAGAGTTTTATGGTTTCATGACTTACATTCAGGTCTTTGATCCATTTCAAGTTCACTTTTGTATATGGGGTCAGACAGTGATCCAGTTCCATTCTCTTACATGTAGCTGTCCAGTTTTGCCAACACCAGCTGTTGAAGAGGCTGTCAATCCCTCATTGTATATCCATGGCTCCTTTATCATATATTAATTGACCATATATGCTTGGGTTAATATCTGGACTCTCTATTCTGTTCCACTAGTATGGGTCTGTTCTTGTGCCAGTACCAAATTGTCTAGATTACTGTGGCTTTGTAGTAGAGCTTGAAGTTGAGAAGCAAGATCCTCCCTGCTTTATTCTTCCTTCTCAGGATTGCTTTGGCTATTCGGGGTCTTTTGTGGTTCCATATGAATTTTAGAACTATTTGCTGTAGTTCATTGAAGAATGCTGTTGGTATTTTGGTAGGGATTGCATTTAATCTGTAGATTGCTTTAGGCAGGATGGCCATTTTGACAATATTAATTCTTCCTAGCCAAGAGCATGGGATGAGTTTCCATTTAGTAGTGTCCTCTTTAATTTCTCTTAAGAGTGTCTTATAGTTTTCACGGTATAGGTCTTTCACTTCCTTGGTTAGGAATTTTATTCTTTTGGATGCAATTGTGAATGGAATTGTTTTCCTGATTTCTTTTTCTGCTAGTTCATCGTTAGGATATGGGAATGCAACAGATTTCTGTGTATTAATTTTGTATCCTGCAACTTTGCTGAATTCAGATATTAGTTCTAGTAGTTTTGGAATGGATTCCTTAGGGTTTCTTACGTACAATATCAGTCATCTGCAAACAGTAACAGTTTGACTTCTTCCTTACCAATCTAGATGCCTTTAATTTCTTTGTGTTGTCTGATTGCTGTGGCTAGGACCTCCAGTACTATGTTAAATAAAAGTGGGGAGAGTGGGAATTCTTGTCTTGTTCCTGATCTTAGAGGAAAAGCTTTCAGCTTCTCGCTGTTAAGTATGATGTTGGCTATGGGTTTGTCATATATGACCTTTATTATGTTGAGGTACTTGCTCCCTATACCCATTTTGTTGAGAGTTTTTATCATGAATGGATGTTGAATTTTGTTGAATGCTTGTTCAGCATCTATGGAAATGATCATGTGGTTTTTATCCTTTGTTTTGTTGATGTGGTAGATGATATTGATGTATTTTCTAATATTGTACCATCCTTGAATCCCTGAGATGAATCCCACTTGATCATGGTGTATGATCCTCTTGATGTATTTT